ACATATTGCTGCGTTGCGGAGATTCATGGGATTACCTGCAGACACATGACTGTGCAGGACATATTACTGCGTTGCGGACCCATGGGATTACCCGCAGACCAGTCCTTCTGCCGAACTTGACTACTAGTGGGCAGAACTGGACCAACCAGCCTGCAGAACTGAACAGTTCTATACAACTACATATATACCTAACGTTATATATTTTTCTTGTTGTTTCGTTATCCCATTATTGTTATTCGTCATTATATTCTGTAGTTAATTAGTCGTTCCAACAATGTTACATAGTTGATATATTCACCACGTTATGTATCGTTAACTTCAGGAGAAGTTAAGTTCTTCTACATAGGGGGGAAGCGTGTAAGGATACAATATACACCCCCACAAACTATTGGACCAGTCCGGTCAGAGGTCACGGACTGCACATGTTCTGACAAGAATACATTTCATATCCCAGCACTTCTCGCATCTTCATTCCTGGAGTGATTACTTATAAGTTCCAATATCTTCACCAACTGGACACTTATACTATCATAATGGTGTTAAATCTATCACTTATCAATTGTCCTTCACCCCCTTATTTTTATAATGGATCAGCCCACCAAAGTCAAAGCAGCAGTATGACTGACCTAGTCTGTGTACCCATGATGCACTAGGTTGAGATGGTACTGTGACCTCCTCTTTCTGCTCTTCTGGATTTTCTGTTTTCTCTACATCTTGGTCTCCATCTTCTACAGCAGCCTCCTCATCTGGTAACTCCACATCCTCAAAATGTTCCTCATCATCTGACTCCTACATGGAGTCAAAAATTGAATTGTTTTCTTACTTGAGAAAATGCTGTTGGTCTAAGACTATCATATTGTCAGATGTTGTGCACAAACATTACAGTAAACCTTTATCTTGATAATACACACCTCTGTGGCCAGGGTGACTGTTCTCAGCCCTGGATGGACTTTTGCAATCTGCAAAACAAATAAATAAACACAACTTCACCACATGTGGGTATTATGTTACATCATCACCATACAGCATAGAACATTTCCTTGAAAAATTCAACATGGAATTTTGTGTGGAGCTGGATCAAATCACAACCTCCTTTGGAGAAAAAGACCCACTCACCTCTGATACTAAGAACAAAGCACCACATACAAAGGATGGCTGCTGACCACAGCAGACTTGTAGTATTCTCTTTATGAAGGCCTAAACAAAGAAGAAAAGTAGTTTAGATTAGAGACAAAGCAATCTCATAAATTTACATCTGTTTAGCAATTTACCATTCTGTTAAGCAGTTGAAAAAAAAATTCTGTTAAGCAGTCTAAGTCTAGATAAGACACAAAAACAGACACAAAAAGTCTGTCTGAATTTTGCATTTGTAGAAAATTCTATAAAAAAATTTCATTCAAATTGCCTTCTATGATCGTATGGCACAACACTGGGGCCTGCCATGGCTTTGAATTCTGAACTAACAACCCTAACCACAAGACTACCTTGCCAACTACTGACTATGACTGTACCCCCATGTGACCCTGACCTTGACTCTCCTGAAGGTGACGTCAGACTTGACAGACTTGTAGAGCAGGTTGAGGAACATGGCCTGTCTGGACGAGTGCTTCAGTTCAGGGTCAGACAGTTTCCTGTACAGGGCTGTGTAGTACCTGTCTGACACTGCCTGTCTGCAAACAAACAGCAGCGTCAGCATCAAAGAATTGTCAGTACAAAAATTTATATCTAACTTTCATAATGAAGGAAGCCTCCCATTGCGACGATACAGCATAGTTACCCTATGTTTAATATCAAACATGCTATCAATAACTGAGGACAAGTATTCAAACACATACATGTAGAGTTAACACAGAGAAGATTCTCACCTGGAATCCATGACCTGGTAGAGAAGCATCAGTGCCTAATAGATGTAAAAAAATGTACAGAACTTTAAGGACTAAAACGTATCTTGTCTTAAACATTGACAAGAAAAATAACTAATCTAACATTTCCTCCATACACCTTGTAGAGACTAAAACATTTTCAGCTTAAGTGTGTGAACACTAAGTATACATAATGTTTGACATCATGTGATATGCTGTCTGATTCACATACATGTATGTAAATACCACACATACCTGTACACTGATGTTGAAGTTCACAGCATGTACCACTTTGAACAGCTCATTGATCTGAGTATCAACCTTCTCATCTTTAACTGTCATGGAAGAAATGTATTCAAAGTGAAGTTTGGAAAAACATTGACACTTCCAATTATAGTTTTTGTCATATTTGTTTAATGTTGATAATCATCTAGTATCAATTCAAGACTGTTAGTTCTATATATGGATATCTATCAAAAATTCTTAAAGAAATAAGATATCAAAGTTGTAACCCACCGTTGGCATAAGGGAAAGCCCTGTTGACACCAGTCAGTAGTGCACTCAACATTTTAGTGTCCTTTTCTTTCTTCTGTACATACACCTGGCATGGGATTCATAATACATTAGATATGCGGAGATGACAGTCATCTAGTGCCTCCTAGTGACTTTCATACAAACTACAGGTTATGTGACTACTATAAAAAAATCATCACTTCTTGCAATTATGATCTCAAAATCGGTACATGATGTATTCAAATGTGAGCATGAAAAATCCTCAACTTACAGGGCAACTACTTGCAGTGAAATAGAATTATTTTATCATCTAAACAGTCACATAAAAAAGCATAAAAAAGCCAACACATTGTATAGACACCAGTCCCACATGGCTTACCTTGAAGAATGAGAAGTAGATGGTGACCAGTTTGTTGGCTAACT